AAACACTGTGGAGGTTCCTCAAAAAGTTAAAAAGAGAGCATCTGGTCACCAAGCTCTGTGCCAACGTGAATGCCCGCACCTCTGCTGGAAACACACCCCTACACCTGGCAGCTGGACTGGGATCCCCCACTCTCACCCGCCTCCTTCTAAAGGCTGGTGCTGATATCCATGCAGAGAATGAGGAGCCCCTGCGCCCACTGTCTTCGCCCCCTAGTTCTGGTAGTGACTCAGATTCTGAGGGACCTGAGAGGGACATCCGAGGCAGCTCCCGGGGCCATACACCTCTTGACCTCACTCGCAGCACCAAGGTGAAGACCTTGCTGTTAAATGCTGCTCAGGACACCATGGCACCTCCCCTGACCCCACCCAGCCCTCCAGGGCCAGAGCTGCCACTTGAGAATGCAGTCCTACAGAATCTAGAGCATCTGCTAGATGGGCCAGGAGCCCAGGGCAGCTGGGCAGAGCTAGCAGAACGGCTGGGGCTGCGCAGTCTGGTGGACACATACTGGAAGACTGCCTCACCCAGCGGCAGCCTCCTGCGCAGTTACAAGCTAGCTGGTGGACTTGGCAGGCCTGCTGGGCACCCTGTCTGACATGGGCCTGGAGGAAGGAGTGAGGCTGCTGAGGGGCCCTGAGGCCCGAGACAAGCTGCCCAGCACAGAGGTGAAGGAGGACAGTGCATACGGGAGCCAGTCGGTGGAACAGGAGGCAGAGAAGCTGGGCTCACCCCCTGAGCCACCAGGAGGGCTCTGCCATGGGCACCCCCAGCCTCAGGTGCACTGAACTGCTGCCCACCAACCAGCCCCCTCCCTGGGCCCCTCTGTACAGCACCCCTGCCTATTCCAGTTCACTATGACCTAGCAATTGCACTGCTGGGTATTTACCCAAAGGATACAAGAATAGTGATCTGAAGGGGCAACTGCATCCCAGTATTTATAGCAGCAATGCCCATAATAGCTAAACTATGGAAAAAAAGAGCCCAGATGTCCATCAACAGATGAACAGATCAAGAAGATGTGGTTTTTATATATAATGGAATATTACTCAGCCATCAAAAAAATGAAATCTTGGGAATCCCTGGGTGGCTCAGCGGTTTAGTGCTGCCTTCAGCCCAGAGCATGATCCTGGAGTTCTGGATTGAGTCCCACATCGGGCTGCCTGCATGGAGTGTGCCTCTCCCTCTGCCTGTGTCTCTGCCTCTCTCTCTCTGTGTCTCTCATGAATAAATAAATAAAATCTTTTAAAAAATAAAATCTTGGGATCCCTGGGTGGCGCAGCGGTTTGGTGCCTGCCTTTGGCCCAGGGCGCAATCCTGGAGACCCGGGATCGAATCCCATGTCGGGCTCCCAGTGCATGGAGCCTGCTTCTCCCTCTGCCTGTGTCTCTGCCTCTCTCTCTCTGTGACTATCATAAATAAATAAATTAAAAAAATTAAAAAATTTAAAAAAATGAAATCTTATCATTTGCAAGGATATGGATGGAACTAGGGGTATTATGCTAAATGAAATAAGTCAATCAGACAAAGACAATTATATTATTTCACTCATATGTGGAATTTAAGAAACAAAACAAAGGATCATAGGGAAATGGAGGAAAAAATAAAACAAGACAAAAATCAGAGAGGGAGATAAACCATAAGAGACCCTTAACTCTAGGAAACAAATTGAGGGTTGCTGGAGGGAAGGTTGAGGGGAAGGGGTAATTGGGTGATGGGCATTAAGGAGGGCACTTGATGGAAAGATCACCGGGTGTTAGATACAACTGATGAATCACTGAACTCTACCTCAGAAACTAATAATACACCATATGTTAATTAATTGAATTTAAATTTTAAAAAAATGGCATTGAGGTTAAAAAAAAAGTTTTTTAAATTTAAAAAAATGGCATTGAGGTTAAAAAAAAACAGTTTTACCCTATACCATACTTGTAACTTACAGGGTTTTTATTCTACTTTAAAAAATACAGACCTCATTATTTCTTTTAAAAGATTTATTTATTTGAGAGAGAGAGAGTGAGAGAGAGAACAAGAATGCATAAGCAGGGAGAACAGCAGAGGGAAAGAGAGCAGACTCCCTACTGAGCAGGGAGCCCAATGTGGGGCTCAATCCTAGAACCCTGGGATCATGACCTGAGCCAAAGGCAGATTCTCAACCAACTGAGCCACCCAGGTGCCTTGCACCTAAATATTTTTATATTTTCAAACACAATTAAGGTAAAGTATTAAGTATACTTCACCTGGATCACTGCAAAGAGTTTTCAACTGTTTCTTCAGGATCTACTCCTGCCCAACACCAATTTGCCTTCATATTGGCAAAGTTCTTGTGTAGTACAAACCTGATCTCACTTTGCTTAAAATGCTTCAATGACTTGTCTACTGCCTGCAGCATCAGGTCCACTAAAGACTTCAGGTAGCTATAAGGCCCTGAGCTCCAGCCTGCCTGATGCTTGGCCTCACTGGCCTTCTTTCAGTTTCTAGAAAGTGCCTGCTCTGTCCCCACCTCATAGCTCTTGCACCTGCTGTCCTCTGCCCAAGGGACAAATATTTTGACTATGTGCAAGGATTCAGATAAAATAAGGTGAAAATCCTAGACTCAAATTAGCAATCATTACTGGCTTTTATATCATCAAAGAAACACAAGAAGAGTCTGACAAAGGCTTAGAATTCTTAGTAAATATGTTTCTCACTTATGTTATGCTTTGGGCTACTTTTCCAATGGTGAGGACAGTGAGACTCCATCCACCTATGAAACCTGGGGCAATAATGGGAAGATGCAGGAAAAGCCAGTTTTCAATCTTTAAGCTCAGGTTAACCAACCACCTTTATCATATTCCTGACCTCTTAGATACAATTTTCATAAACAAAGTGGATGGGTTTTGGAAAAATAAACTGGAAGGTACTAATGGGACCTCACCAAAGAATATATACAGATGGCCAATAAGCATAAGAAAAGATGTTCCATATCATACGTCATCAGGGAAAAGCAAATGAAAACAATGAGATACCATTATGCATCCATTAGAATGGCCAAAATCTAGAACTGTCAATACCAAATCCTAGCATGGATGTGGAGCAACAGGAACTCTCATTCTTTGCTGGTGGGAATGCAAAATAGTACAGCCCCTTTGGGAGATAGTCAGTTCCTTAAGAAACTAAACTTACTCTTATACCACCAGCAACTGTGCTCCTTTGCTATATACCCAAGGGTGTTGAAAACTTATATCCACATAAACCTCCCCCACACACATTTATAGTAGCTTTATCCATAATTGCCAAAACTTGGAAGCATATCAAGATGTCCTTCCGTAGGTGGGATAAACAGATTGTGGTACGTTAAGATTATGGAACATTATTCAGAGCTAAAAAGACATGAGCTTTCAAGCCATAAAAAGATATAGAGGAACCTTAAATATTTATTATGAAGTGAGAGAAGCCAATCTGAAAAGGCTACATGCTATATTCCAAGTATATGACAGTCTGGAAAAGGCAAGATTATGGCCACAGTAAAAAGATTGGTGGCTGTAAGGTGAAGGAGTGGCGTGAATAGGTGGAGCACAGAGAATCTCTAAGGCAGTGGAACTACTCTGTGTGGTACTCTGATATGAGTACTCTGTATTCATAATGATAAAAACATCATTATATATTTGTTCAAACCCACAGAATGTACAACACCCAGAGTGAACCATAATGTCAGCTATGGACTTTGGGTGATTATGATATGTCAAAGCAGATTCACAAATTTTTTTTTCCATTCAAGATAATATTAAATTGTTTATTGATTACACATGATAATGGATGATACACAAGCTTTAATCCCATCTATAATTTTATCTGATACCATAATTCAATTTAGATATATTGCATAGGATGTGCCAACAACCATAATAACCAGATTAACTCCAGGACTTTGCTTGGGTGACCCTTTTAACAGTGAACTCCAGGTCACAACACATTAACTGTCAGTTCAACCACACCAAGGTTTGTGGAGACAATGGCTTCTGTGCCCAGGCAGGGTGCAAATAAATTTCGAATGGAACCTGGCATCACCCGGAAGGAATCCTAACTTCACACTGTTGGGGTAGTTTACCAAGATGGCTTCAGAGTAGACTAACTTTACACAGCACATTTTAAAAAAGATGCATTTATTCAGCGTCATGATCAGACATTTAGCAAACAGCATGGGTGCAAAAAAAAAAAAAACTACATTAAAACCCTTTGCTGGAATGCTTTACACTCTCCACAGAACAGAAACTAAAATAACCTGTTTTATACAATTAGTCACAAATACAGTCGAGCTTTTTGCCCATACACACGAGTATTGTCTAAGACGTGTCTTCTTTGTAGCAGCCAGGCCCTGCCACCACCTGCTCGGCTGAGTTCACAAATCTGTTGTAACCTGTAGCTTCCCTGTCCCTTCTGTGGCTCTCCTCTCTTGCTAAGCTTTGTTTCCTGGCAGTAATTAAAACCTTCCACCACCGCCATGGCTGCTGCTGGAACCGCCACAGCCACCTTGGTTTCATGGTTTGGCAAAGTATTGGCCTCCACCACCATAGGGGCCAGAGCTTCTGCCTCCAAAATCTCCTCCCTTCGTGGGTCCAAAATTTGAGGATTGATTGTTGTAACTGCCAAAATCGTTACAGCTTCCGCCACCTCCAAAGTTGCTTCCACCATTACCAAATCTGTTATCAACCATCCCCACCGCCACCCTGTCCACCACCACCTCGACTGCCACTGAAGCCACCTCGACCACTGAAGTTCCCTCCACGACCAAAGTTGTCATTCCCACCAAAACCACCTCCACGACCACCACCAAAGTTTCCAGAACCACTTCGGCCTCTCTGGCTGGATGAAGCACTAGCCATCTCTTGCTTCAATAGGGCTTTCCTTACCACACAGCTGTGGCCATTCACAGTGTGGTATTTTTGTTTTGTTTTGTTTTGTTTTTTATGAAAAGACATTTTATTATTATTTTGCTATATAACATATTAGTGAATATACTCAATTGTGTTTCTCAAATGGCAAATGAGACACAAGATAACATCTTTCTGATTCCTGAAAACCTCAGTATCATCTGTCTTTTGGAGGATCCAGTTTCCTACGACGTCTATGATACTGTCCACGAGGATACCAACGGTGCTTTACCAATGGTAAAGAACATTTTGCTAAGTTGTTCTATCATAAGTCCTTGCTCAAAGTGTTCATTTTTTTCTTCTAGTCTGGTTTTCAGCACTTGGTCATGTGTTTCTTCATTATTATGCACAGGATCTGGCCGAGGGATAGGTTTTGTATGCTCATATGGAATGTCCACCGAAGGGTGGTAGCATACTATCGTCCTGCCGTCAGATATCAAAGCAAGCTCTACTTTGCAATTATAGTCATCTGGTAGAGGAGAATACGTAGATTTATGACAAAAACAATATAAAGCTCCATTTTGAATTGAAAATAAATGTTTCCAGACAGTTCTGTTTGATATTGCCCATTTTACTGCTGCCAACGCCATGGTGAATCAAGATGCTATTGGGTGGTATGAAAGATGAAGAGACAGATTTTAAATTCTGCTTCCACGCGTAACTATTTTCATCCCTGTGTCAGCGGCACCACAAGCCCGTCATTTTACCTCAATCCCACAGTGTGGTATTTTTGAATGACAATCTTGTCTACAGAGTCATGGTCATCAAATGTCACAAAAGCAAAACCTCTCTTTTTGCCACTGCCTCGGTCAGTCATGATCTCAATCACTTCAATCTTCCCATAGTGTTCAAAATAATCTCTTAGATGATGTTCTTCAGTGTCTTCTCTAATGCCACCAACAAAAATATTTTGCACAGCTAAGTGGGCACCAGGTCTTTGAGAATCTTCTCTTGAGACAGCCCTCTTTGGTTCCACCACTCTTCCATCCACCTTGTGTGGCCCTGCACTCATGGCTGCGTCTGCCTCCTCCACGGTGGCCTATGTGGCGAACCCAGAGCCTCTGGAGCACTTGGTGTCTGGATCTCTCACTACCACATTGCTCAGAATGGCTCCTCAGACTTCCATCAGTTGTTTCAAAGCTCAAACCTCCGATGAAGGGCTTCCACAGCTGCTCAGGTCCTTTGAGAGACTTGGACTTAGCCATGACGGAGGTGGGAGGGGAGACTTGAACGATGCTTACTCGGCGGCGTCCAGGGGCACAAAGCAGATTCACAAATTTTAACAGATGTAGTACACTGGTGGGAGTTGTCGAGAAGCAGGAAGCATATGAGAAATCTCTGTGCCCTCTGCTCAATTTGCTGTAAACCTTAAATTGCTCTAAAAAAAAAAAGTCTTAATCTAAAAAAAGTATTACTGGGAATGAAATTAAGGGCTCAGTTTTTGTTTTTGTTTTTTTTTTAAAAAGAGTATCTCATATACATTATTTGAAGAAATTTAAATATTAGAGGTGAAAATATTCATATGGAAAATGTTTAAAAATGGCTTTTTTTTGCTCAGAAAGAAATGGACAAGTTGCCTGTAATTTTAGTCTGCCTTTATTTTAATGCTCTGATAGTATGCCAGCCCAGTGGTATACTGTGCATGTTGAAAGTCCACTGCTACAAGAGCTTTCCCAGAAGAGTAGTATCTTCTGGACTGAGAGGTCTCCTGATCCTGGCCTTTAGGATGTTTAGCAAAGATGTACCATTCTCCCCCACCCCATTCTCTTTAACTAGCTCTTTGAATACTCTTATCCTAGCAGCCAGAGAACATGCTGCTGGCTTTTCACAGCAGTGTTGAGAGAACTGGCTCTCTGTGTGGTGAAAAAATTAAGAGTTCTGTTCATAAAAATATTCCAGGTGAATTAAGGGTCTAAACATTAAAAATTTTAACTATGAAAACATTAGAATATATAGGGGAGTAGGTCTAACCCTGGAGAAGGATAGTCCTCTTAAGCCAGACACAACCAAAAAAATTATCCAGTGGAGAATTATTTATGGGGTCTTTGATGTAGTCCAATTTCCCAAAGTTAAAAGACAGGGCCAGCCTTAGAGAAAGTATTTACCACATAACAAAGGATTAGTATTCAGACAATACAAAGAACTATAAATCAATAAAGAAGGCATTTTTAAAAAATTTAGCTAAGGATATTAAGAGGCAATTCACAGGAAGGGAAACTAAAAATGCCTGACGAATAAACAAAGAGCTGCCTAGTAAAGAAAAACAGTGAGAGATAAGTTTTTCTTGAGTAGATTGGCAAAAAATTTAAAGATCAATTTTATAGAGTGTTGGTAAGCGTGTGGCATGTACCTGAGACCCTATTGGTGAATAATTTGACAGTGTTCTATCATACAACCCCTCCAAACCAACAGTACTGTTTGTCCCCAGTAAAGAGAAAAATTGGACCTTACACATGTAGGGAGGATGCTACACTGTAAGTTTTTACTGTAACACAAGAAACTAGCAATACCAGATATTGAAGTGAGTTATAAAACAGGCCACACTGGAAAGTGTGCCAAAGGGAGATAATGAAGAATCAGACTTGAGTCTCTCTCCCATAATGAGCTTCCAGAGAAAGACCAGAAGGAGAATTTCTTTGGAAAAATTTTCTGTGAGACAGCCACATAGCTCCTTCTCTCAACTAGATAAAGGGCGGGAGTATCACCTTCTTGCCTCATGAGAGTGTTTTTGGTGAGACTAACCGCGGAGTTGTGGGCCGAAGTTCTCCACAGTTAAGGAAGCAGAGAGCTGGTATCTGACTTCAACCCTGGGAATCCAGAACATGAGAGGTAGTGTGGCTGGCTGTCTTGTGACAAGGGAGTGAAGGAACACTGAAGCTACACTGGGACTGGGCCTCATCCTCTGTTAGAGCAAAGAGTGCTAGATATTTCTGTGGGCTAGGAGTAGTCCAAGCAAGAATGGGCTAGTCCAGGGCTTGTCTTAGGTCTAGACCTCTAAGGCTGTCTCTGAAGAGGCAACATGACCTCATGAGGCAGAATTGGAGATGGGCCACTGCGTTCCCAGGGGCTGCGAGGGAGCAAGGGATGAGGGCTTGGAAGAACATCCATGAGAGAGTCAGCATTAATACTCTATCAGGCCTTGAAACAGAGGCCAACTTATCACAATATCAGTCATAGGAAGATTTTCCTAGTCCCTCTGCCAGTCTCAAGAAGGCATAACAAAGGGGCACCTGGGTGGCTCAGTCAGTTAAGCATCTGACTCTTGGTTTGGTTCAGGTCATGATCTCAGAGTCCTGGGATTGAACCCCACGTTGGGCTCCGCACTCAGCGTGGAGCCTGCTTCTCCTTCTCCTGCTCGCACCACCCCGCCCCTTTCTCAAAAATAAATAAAATCTTTTTTTTTTTTTAAAGAAAGCATGGAAGAAAGATTCTGTCTTGCATTTTCCAAGATGTATTAATTTTTTAAAAAGGCAATTTTCATTATATTCCATATGATATGATTGAGTTTATATTAAGAAACACTTTGTGAACATTTATGTACATAAACACATAGAAAATGTTTTAGAAGAACAAAAATTGAGAATGGTTACTCCTCTGTGGAATAGTATGGGGGGCCTAATGTCAAATGGGAAATTAAATTCATCCTCATTAAGAACACATTCATGTATTCCATGAATTGAATAATTAAATGCATTAAAAACCCCAATCGCTTGTAATTTGAATAAAGTCTAATTTTTAGCTTAAAAATAATTTTTAAGTTTAAGAAAACAACAAAAACACTGTTCCAAGGAAGAGAATCTATCTGTCTTAATTTACTAACTGTGGATCAGCAAAGTTCTCAGCAAAGTTCTCAAAGTTCTCTTATGCACACCTCTGGGCTGTTTGGTAAAGGTCTGTCTGCCATGTTTCAGTTTTTTCTCTACAACATACAATATCTGGTATTGCTAGTTTCTTGTGTTACAGTAAAAACATCTGAATGAACCCTCTATCTGGGAGCTGGCTATTGACCGGGGACCTCAAATTCTGATTCTTCTCAAAGTAGACAAGATTCACAACTGAAGTTTTAACACTGTTTTCTTAATTTTAAGAAGTCTCTTTGTGGTTTCCTCTGTCAGCCAGAGTAGGAAGAAACAGGACTCTACCAAAAGAAAACAAGATGTACATCCAGAAATAAATTGCCACATGGTTAATGAATGAATGAAAAACCACTGAGTGGTTTTTAAAAGAACCCAAAGTTTTTAAGGTAAAGAGCCCTCCCTCTTACATGGGTATGTGTGTGTATATGCACACACATTTGTGTATATACACCATTTGTTTTGAAATGGAAGAAACCTGATAATACTAAACCATAGCCTGTGAATCCAGAGGCAAAAATAGTGCTTTAGTTGTAGACCAATATCTTAGGAAAGCTCTTAATCAGTACGAAGAAACCAGCTAAGCAAATCACAGGTTCTAAAAATGAATAATGTAACAACCAACAGTTGCCAAGAAAAAGGTAAAGCTTGGTTTTGCACTACTACAAACATACAGCAGGTTTAGGTTTCTTCCCTAAACCCATCCTTGTTTCTACATTATATCCAGGAATTGGTATATTACAGTCTGTAGGGCAAGGGTATTTTTTATATCTCAAATGGTTGAAAAATGTTGAAAACAGAGTATTTCATGACAATAAGGTGATATGAGTATCACATGTAAGTATCCATAAATAAAGTTTTATTGGGGTTTTGCCACATGTATTGGTTTCTGTATTATCTACTGCTGCTTGCACGCTACAAAGCAAGTTGAGTAGTTCCAACAGACATTGTGGCTCTTAATAATGATCCTCTAGAGAAAATGAGTCAACCCCTATTCTAGACCAATAATGGCTATTTGTAAACATCACTATTGATAGTTGCAAAAAGTTACCCATTCAGCTTCTTGTATACATTTGGTGATCATCAGTTGCTCAGAGATGGCAAACCCCCTTTATCAGCCCAACTATTAGTGTTTATTCAAGCTTTCTGAGCTCAAGTCACTTCAAAACACTCCCTTGATGCTGTCCATGGGGAAAAGAAGGCCCTCAAAAACATGTAGCTCTAAGCTCCTAAAAATACTCAGTGTTAAAGAGTTATTACTATGCTTATTAGCATATTCTGGGAATTAATCCCCCACAGCTTCTGCCAGTTTAGAGTATAAAAAACTCATTATGACTCACATTAAACTATACTTTTAATATAACTATTTTATGCTTATATATATATATTATTCTGTATACTCTGAAATTCCACGTAAAAAAATTACTCCGTATAAGTGGTTTGAAGATAGCTTATTCATAACACCTCTTATTTATACATAAATTACCAGCCCAGTCTCAGGAAAAACAAACTTAGCAGATACCAGTCACACTTCTCTTCCAACCTTCCGCCCCTACCCTGTGTCACACAGCATTCCCATCTGCCCCTTCCAACTACAAGCCCCCTCCTTCTGTACTCACAATCATTACACATGCTCTCAGCCCACTGACAACATTCTCTGATACACAAACCTCATCCTATTACATCCCTGGTTCTACCTTGGGCAGTTGTGATCCAAACCTTTTGCTCCTAAGCCACCTTCCCTTTCTTCCCCCAGCAAATCAAATCTGGCCCTTAGGATGCCACTGACCAGGTTTCACTCCCAACTGTGTAAATCAGCCCTTCAATTCCTAAGGGAGATGTGGAAC